GTTGTAAGCAGCACGTCTTCAGTGTTTTGTAAAAACATTCACAAATATTAAATGTTTAAGACCTGACTATGATTTACTGTTTTATTATTTGTTGAAAACTTACTTGCTTTTCTTACTGCTAACGTTTTTAGGGACTGTCACATGGTGTTTGTTGTTAATGCACCTTTTGGATGTCGACACCTTCATATAGTGACTTTATAAACTTTAATGTTTGCATTTAGAAGCATTAGTGCCATTTGGTTGTTCGTACTCTTACTGAGCTCATTCGAGACTACAGCACTTGCAGTAAATGCAGTCATCAATACTGAGTTTATTGTAATGCCCACCCTGCTTACAGACTGGCGAAGGCTCTCATGCTCACAGTGACACCTACACATAACCTGATGTTAAATAGCAAATTTGGTTGTATTTAGCAAAACAAAAAAGTAAAATAAGTTTGACTTTACTAAACATATTTTTTAGTCTTAAGTACAAATTTCCTTTATTAAAGAAAAAGTTTTCTTATAACAAAAAATACAGTCCTGTCAAAACTTCATCTGATTCTGCATTTGGAACATTTTTTAAGTCAAGTGTAAATATGATTTTGTTTTGGAGGCTATGAAATGATCGAAGTTCAATTTAACTAAAAAATTTGAGATATAAGAATGTGCTTCCCGTCAAACTTCAACAAACAACCATTATTCCCATAACGTGCAGGTATTGACCTAAATGACAGAAGAAAGAAGAAGTCCAATGAACAAAAAGTAAACCTTTATTGAAGCTGAAAAAAGTCCAAAATAGCAAAAAAACAGCGAAAACAAACAAATCAAAGATGATATCCACAAAAACACTGAAGGGAGATAAATTGGGAGATTTGGATGGTGGAGACACGGTGGAGTCACCACCCGCTGTGAGAAGAGCTGACATTAACATAAATACCAACTAACGGAGAACTGAAACAAATAATTCACAAATAAGCTGAAAGCATGCACTGAATTCAAAACCCAAACCAATGTCATCAACCTAACCCATAATAAGATTTATTACTTACTCATTTAAATATTAAATTACAACAGCTGTAATCATTGACAACATAACGGGTATAATAATTTACTATCTAAGCCATTTAAACAGGCAGAGCAGGAAGTCCACTGGGGAGGATAAAACCACCTCTTATCAACATTACAACATGCGCAGTAATCGATGCTGCAATCCTAAAGAGGCAAAGTTTGAGATTTCCTCATAGCAGCTTGCAAAGAGCTGCAACAAGTTGTGATTCTTTTTCTATGAAGCAAGAGAGCAAGAGAGGACCTGCTCTGCACTCTTAAACCTTAAGAAGCACCGAAGCTTCCCATTCACCTGTTGCGTTCATGCACTGATGCTTCACAGTGCTTCATTTGCTCTAAGGTGCCATCAAGTGGACAATAAATGTAAAACAGGCAGAGTGATTACAATGACACCATGGCTTTGGTGTGAATGTATGACTTAATGATTTTTGTGAACTTCTAAATAATTCTGACCTTTTAAATATGCTGTGTGTGTGTTTATGCTACAATAGCAGGATCAAAAGAGAAGATTAGGAAAAAAGGATGCAATGAGTTTGTGTTACTGGGTTTGTAACTGTGCTTATGTTACTTATAAAAAGTGACTTTTATTTCATTAAAAAAAACTTTTCCACAGTGCTGGGCTTCAGGCGGTTTCTTC